ATTGGTCCGGGCCTGATTGATTTGAGATGAATGGGCCTCGCTCTCTCAGTCGATGGGTCGGTCGGTGTCTGCGTGTGTGTGTTTCCAGAGCCGCCTACACGCGGATGCCTCCAGAATTTTTCCAAGAGAGGTGAAACTTATTGAGTCGGATCTATTTCGCTCGATCGTGTGTGTGCGGTTCCTTTGAGAACAAACGCTCACCAAATTGCATGGAACGGTCGGCGCTTTTCAAATTGGGCCCGCGAGAGAAAAAGACGAAGCTCCGTTTGTGCGAAAAGTTTTGAGAAATATGAAAGAGAGATAGAGAGGCTTTTGTATGGTTTAACTTTGCCATTTAACTTTTTTTTAATTCTCAATATTGTTTTGGAGTTTTTCATTCATTTGTTCATTGATAAATGTAAACAATTCTATAAAAATTACAATTTGATTTTTTGGTTAGAATATATAATGACTATTATAAAGTTTACATTTTTAAATATTAACAATATGTAACATTTACAAGCGGAAATAGAATTATAGTCTTTTTTTGAACGGAAATTCCTTTGGGTTTTTGATTTACATTATTCAAAATCTACAGGACAATTGAGCTAATTGTTGTTTTCTTGTGGAAATAATTGTAGATTTTCTTAACCAAAAATTAAAGATTAGTTACATTATTTGATCTTTGTTGTTAACTTGCTACATTTAAAAAAAAAAATCAAAAATTCAAAATTTAGTCATTGTCACAGGTACATATAGTTGCAAATTGTGTTTATTGATCTATCACAAAGGCAATTGCTGCCCATAACGGGATACATCATTTATACATTCAAAATTATACAAGTTATTATAATTGAGAGAAAAGATGATAATTTTACATATTATTATGTATTTCATAATTATACTACAGCAGGAAATACGTCTCCAATTTACAACTGGAAATAATGGGATATTTTGATTGCGCAATATAATTTCTAATTAAACATCAGAATTGAATGCAAGCTGATTTATTTATTACTCAATTAAATATTGTGTCACACGGCTGAGTTGAGAAAAGTGGTGGATGTGCAATTTGCAATGAATTACCTGACCTGGTCAATTTCATGTTGCAACGCAGGTCGGTAATTCAGCCGATTGTGTGAGAGAGAGGAGTGGAGAGAGGGAGCAGCATCCATCCGTGCAAATATACGTGCAAAAGCAAAACAACGTGTGTGTTTTGTGCTCCGAATGCAACCCGCGAAGCAATATTGTAGCTGATAGACGGCGGCGGCCAATAACAATGCACAATGGGAAAAATAACAGGCAATCAAACAGCACCATCGCATACGTTTTCATATTTGTGTACTTTGCAATTTCGATTTATGTCGCGTGCAAAGTCTATTGTGCGAAACAATCAAAATTACGACGGGCCACTGATTTATCCGGCAGCAAACAACAAAAATGTACACACAAACAACGCCACTGGTCGCCGATATTTACAGCAATTGGGCTTTATAATAAACGCGCCCGACCGCGACAACTGCCGCTCGCGCGTGTGTGTTTTGTGCTTTTGTCGCCACCACGCTCTCATATTATTTTTATTAATTACCTATTTTGGGCCTATCTTTTCATCGACGCTCATTTCGCATTCATCGGCCCGCAATACGGGTTTACGGTTGAAATTCATCGTTGCGGGGGTGTTCAAAAGGCGCAATTCAACCTCAATGGGCGATGAATGTTTGTTTGGATGTTTTTGTTAACTGATATTATTTGCATTGCAAAAAACTCGGTAAAATTATTTAGGATTCACGAAGAACTATCAGTTTAATTCAAATTTTTGATAATACAGAATGTATTACATTCTTAAAATAGTGCAGAAATTTAAGATGGGGGATCAAAAGGTCATTTATAAAAAATATAAAAGATTCTTAAATTCCTAAAAAGTCATTAATTCCAAGTATTTTAAATTTTAAATAAGAGCTTGACATAGAAATGAAGAGATCGGGCTTTTCCTTGTTGCAGAAAAATTGTTTTTTTTTTATTCAAAAACAAATGGCTCTTTTTTTCTGCAACAAGGAAAAGCCCGATCTCTTCATTTCCATGATTGTCTCCTCGAGGGTCAACTTATTCAAACAAAAGAGTGACATAATTTAAAATATCAAACCAATTTTTGAGGTAATTAATAAAGAAAAGGCATTGAATTTCACAAATTCTGACATATAATTAATAAGAAAGTTCAAATGCGACTGACAATGGGGAAGACAATTCCTGAAGGAATTTAACTGATAAAACTTTCAACTTATCTATTTCGATCAAAAATGAGAAATGAATTTATGTCGCCAGAAAGTTAATTTATTTTTAATACAAAATTCAAAAACATTAAAGTTTCAATCAAAGGAGCAAAAATTTTTGGTATTGTGGAAGTTTTAATTTGTCATTTACAACTTTTTTTATTGTTATGAAATCTATAAACTCGCATTTTTGCTGCATGTCACATTTCCAACATTTAACTTGCAAGATTATTCTGCTAAAAAATATATTTTTTTTTCTTTTTGTCAATTTTTACGTTCTTAGAAGATGATAAACTTAGACATTTGGGTTTTCTGAGCCACATTGTTTAATACTCATTCGATCCTTATGAGATGAGAGAGGGACTGTGCAAGGAGATTTTAAAACTGAATTAATCACTCTCGTAACCTTTGTTTACTTTGATGCACACCCGCAGAATCATTTTGCGGTTTGAACCGAGAGCACCTGCAAAAAAATCTATTTAGATAATGGTTTAATAACTTGTTGCTCGGGAATGATTCGGCGGGCGGCATTTGCGCACATAAATTCTCATCAGGCCGCATGAGTTACGGCTGGTAATAACAGCTAGGCGCGCGAGCGAGCGAGCGAGTAGCAAATATGTACATAGATACGTGCACACCACAGCAGCAACACAAACTGAATAAGAATGGGAGGTCGGGTGTCAGTCTTGCCGTATGATAAATGAAATGTGTTGACCTAATTTGAATATAAACTCGCTGGCAGACACACCCACCCCAGTGTGATCCCCCTGTGCAGAAGAAGAGAGGAATAATATTGTCTTGAGAACGAGCAACACGCCGTGCGAGTCCAATGCATTATCATAATATACAGATATGCAGAAACCTCGCTGAATAAAACCACCTCTCTTTTTTTATTATTTTGCTCTTCTATTAGCATAAAACTAGCGGCGGGTAATGAATTTTTTGTCCTCATTCATCTCTCCACCGCCGCGTTTGAATAATTCTCTCTTCTTTATTTTAGGGGTGCCTCACAATGTCCTAAAGACAATGTCCTAACAGAAAATGTCCTAACAGAAAATATCCTAAAGAAAATGTCCTACAGAAAATATCCTAAAGAAAATGCCCTAAAAGTGAGAATTGAAAATGTCCTAACAGAAAATATCCTAACGCCTGAAAATTATGACAAGTCATGTGTCATGTGCAAAAAAATTCAATTTATCCTTTCAAGTAATTTTGCGTTAAAATTTATCCTGATTCAAAATATTATTAATTTTACGTTTCATATATATAGTCTTTATCGGAAAATATACATTATAGACTTTTGAACTAATTTTAGTAATTTTTGGCTTTTGTAATGTCTGTAATATTTTTTTAAAAAATTTTTTTTCTTCGCTTTTTCTACGGGTAGTTAAGAAATATAACTATTAATCTTTCTTCTAGACAATAGTTTCAAAGAATTTCGTAAAAATCTTCAGGAAAATATATTTTAGTTTCCTATGAAAAAGTTTACTTACATTAGAAATATCATTGGAATTTTTTTTTCAAGACAAAAAATATGAAAAATTCTTATTGAAAATATTCGTTAAATTTATTTTCAATATACATTATAGTAATAATATTATTTTTTTAAATTAATTGTATTTGTGGAATATAATATGATTGTTTCAAACTTTTATGCACTTTAATATTTTGAATTATTTGATCAACTTTCTTTAGAAATGTGACAGAGAAGCATTCTTTCTGCATAAGTGAATTCATTTGATAAGGAATAAAGTTCATGTTAGTCCCCTGTTGAAAAAACTAATTTTTTTTTTATATATCAACCAATTTTCCGAAATTTAGGACATTTTCTTTAAATTCAATTAGGACAAAATCTTTAGGACAATGTGCGACCATAGCTTTTAGGACATTATCTTTAGGATATTTTCTTTAGGACATTCTCTGTTAGGACATTGTCTTTAACCTCAATTTAGGACATTTTCTTTAGGACATTATGATGGTACCCTTTATTTTATATACATTATATTATGCCCCTACATTTTTTCACCCCGTAACTCGCACACACTCGCTCTCACGTTATACACCTAGGCACACATTTCACTTGGTAATTTATTCGCTCCTGCCGGTCGCCGCCGCTTTGTGTATTATCATCGAAGCACCTTTCCGAGAGAGACCGACGGTGTTTTGCAAATATTGGTTTAATGAGAGCAATATTTCTCCGGCCAGGAAGCAAGTGCATGTAATTTTTAATGCTTTCCCGATCTATAGCATTCAAAATTCTTGCATTACTTGTATATATGAACAGAAAAGCAATAAAATCCGATAAAATATAAAATCTTAATTGTTTAATATATTTAGTAAAAAAGATTATACAGGAATTGAAAAATAATTATGCTGTTTTTCCTTGCTAGATTCTTAAAGCTACTTGGGAAAAAAGACCAAATTTATTTTCTTGTTAAAAAGTCCTTGGTTATAATTAAATAGGTCGTTTACAGTCTCAAATATTGTATTCTGTTGAATCAGAATGCCATAGTTCACAAAGACCCATTTTCATCAGAATTATTTATTCTGCTGAGTCAATCGAAAGATTTTAATTGAGTGAAGATAGGGAACAGAATTGTAACTATTTTTGATAAATTTGACGCACCCAAATATAGTGAAATACTAAAAACTTATTAAAATATTTCACAATTATCCTCAATATATATTTCCCGAATTTTTCCAAAATCAAAAAATATATATTATGTTTGGAAATAAAGAAATGCTACTCACGGATTTGCAGGCTGAGGCAGAAGAGCGCCGATGATGCCATGGCAACCAACGGGTGTGCAGAAAGAGAGATCAAACAAACGCCGGCGTCTCTTTGCAAGGGGTCAAGGGCTGCAGCCTGGAACACACAGAAATATTTCATCAGCACCTCCAGTTTGATGCTCTCTGTCTCTTTCACAGGAATTCCATTTGGCCTCTGCGTTCGCCGGCAGCAGCTTCTGTCCGTCGCGACAAATGGGATAAAAGTGCTGAAAGTAGCGCGCCCACTCACCCACCCACGTCGCTCTTTGACAAAAGGGACAAAGGACGCTTTGAAAATCAGATTAGCTGATCATTTAGAATCGGCGCGTCAGCCTCTCTGAAAGCAGATTTGCAGCCTTTGCGCAGAAAGAAAACCACTTATTAGAATTCAGTCTGTAGTCGAAAAATTATTGAATGAAAAAAAATTTTTTAGATAAAAATAAATTTGAATTTAAAAAAATAGCACGTGTTTTTAATTGTCAGGGTCTCTAGGACTCTAAGAATCTATTGCAATTAAGGTTATGTTTGATGATGTTTTGTAATTGCGATACATGCAAGCTCGCAAAAAAAATACGTACTGAGGTTTTTTTACCTCTAATAACCGGTGGGTCCGATGGAAACCGGCCACCTGACAAAATAAGTCGCAAGGTTTGTAACATTTAATAATATTTTTATTTCTTTTATTTCTCCTCTCAAATGGGTAAAATATTGTTTATTTGGTAAAGCGAAATACCTTTAACTAATTTTATAAACTTTTGTCCCGCATTGGAGGTTTTATAAGAATCCAGAGTAAAAATTTCAAATTATTTTATGAATATAACTTTTCTGTACATCAAAATAGAAACCTAAATACATGTTACCAAGACAATTCACCATGAATAACGAGTTTTCAGCCCATTTTCTTATCAATTTTCCCTCCCATCTCTCTGTTTGCAATAATTTCCAAAGTGAGTATATCTTCTCAAATTCACGAAAGAAATTATTATCCTCTCATTTGTCTATCTGATTGTGAGCACATGTACATACATCAAGTCGATTCACTTGTAATTACGACGGTTAGACAATGCTCTGGAGCGACGTGTGCGTCGCAGTGTGAAATGCACCCAGTATAATTATTGCCACGCAGTCAACCGGAATTTCTTATCCCCACAGGAAAGGCGAGGCATGCCTATTCACCACTCTTTTGACGTGTCGCTCAAATGAAACAGCGAATTCCGCATGTCTGTCGGAATTCGGCTCACGAGGGAACGCCGCCAACCTTCATTAACCGAATTTGATCAAACGTGGGAAATTGGATTTGTAGGAAATAAGAAACAATCTCAATTTTTGGTCCTTGTCATTATAGAACTCTAAAATGTATGCAACACTTGACTTGAAACTATACAAAAGCAGATAATGAGAAAATTGACGCAATTAATCATTTTTCTAAAATTGTAAACCAACTGACATAATTTCTAATCAACTCGAATTTTATGATTTAAAATTCCCACCATCGATATATTTCAGTCAAGAAGTGTTAACAAAAATGCGACAAGTTGGGACACCCATAATGTGCTTTTTTAACACATTATTAGGTCCAGCTGATGACCCAAATTAGGTCCAGGCCAATTATGTTGCCTTAATTTCGGAGTTTTAATTAAGCTCCTGATTTATGCAGCATAATTTATGGCTCATTTCAATAAAAGTTGATAAAAGTTAACAATTTTGCACGGTACAACAGCTAAATATTTTCAGTAAAACCATGATTTCCCCATTTATAGATAGTTTCAACTTATTTATGTTGAATTATTCTGGTTAAATTTAAATCAATTATTTGAATTATTCACATGTTCCTCATAATACATTTGCCAAGCGTAAACTTTTATTAAAAGAAAAACATCGTTTGTATTTTTCGCCCCTCATATCATTCAGCCTTGCTTTCGTAAAAATAAATAAAGATTGGGGATGTTCCCTTGTCAGCAGGCACTAACCCTGATATTAATTTGACGTCGTTAAGCTCGACGGGTTTTTTTGCAGTGGCACGCGCTCGCGGCAAAAAGTGGCGTGGTGCGCGATAATTTTTGCAAATTGGTCCGCTAATGGCGGCCCATCCATCATTAAAATCCAGCCGGTTGCATATAACGGCTTATTAGAGAGACAGTCTAGCTATCGTCTGGTAGGCTTTTGACTTGGCTGTAAAATAAAAAACCCCTTTCTTCTCTCTCAGTCAGCGATGAATCTCGAAAAAGTTTCGCCCATTTTTAACGCCCTATTAAAGCTGCCGAGTATGGGGCGGCATAAAATAATGAGATAAAACGCCTCCCATTTTTGCGCGCGTCAGGAAGTTTTTCCTCGTCTTTTCCTTTTTTCCTCCAAGAAGACGAAAAGAAGTGCTCATCTTTTTTAAGACTGCTTTTCCTCCCTTTTTCTCCACCCAGAGTTGTTTATGTCTTGCCGACGGCCGAGTGTAAACACACCTGACGGTTTAATGCTTTTTAATTAGTTTGTTTATTAGCACGCGGCAGGAGAGCTTAATTGAATTAACCACCGTCTGATTTGTAAGTGGACAGATATGAGTATTAGAAGGTGTGTTTTTCTTTCAGAAAAAGTCGGCTATTTTTGTTTTTCTTCATTCTCTCATTAAATGTCTGGCATTTATTTTATAAATACAACATTTAAGGTGCAGATCAACAAAAGTTTTTACAAACTTTGGATTTATCCCAGGTTGGACGAGGACTCAAATTCTGTGGCAAAGATCGTCTTCAGTGTGAGCCAAAAGTTGTCTGTCTTTCTTTGAAGCAATAAAATTTGGTAGTAAAACATTACAAACATGGTGCATGGTTTGATTTTATCACCACCCAAGAGATATTTTTTATGCAAAGTCATTATTGTTGTCATGAGTCAATTCGAGCATGTCCATAATCCAACTAAAAATAAATTATAAACATTAAAGAATTTTATAATTTAATAAAAGTAAGCAAAAATCTTACCAACAAATGGTGTTAATGGAATAAAATCCAAAATTATAAATAAATAACCATTGAAATATTGAATTTGATAATTTTCACAAACGATATATAAATTTTAATAAAATATAGTTTTTTTTCTAACTTTTAATATTTATGTGCCACAGAAAAACTTCTATTTTTCTTCCATGCTGTTCAAAAATGTTAAAACGCGCAGACATGTTTTAATCTCGCGGCGGCTACACGCAAAATTATTAATTTCTCTGTTGCTAGATCTCACATTATTCCTCGAGGCGCACTTTGGCTTAAGATTCGCTGCAATTGCACAAGTTTTGCAGAGGGTATTTTTTAATTCTTGCCACTTACTTCCAGAGTTAGGTAGAAAAATTTATCTCTGGTGCAATTCGAAAACTGCTGCAAGCCAAGAACTTAGCAGGGGACGCGCGTCTTCCTCTTTTGAGATATAATTTTTAACTACGCAATATATTCTGGTGCCGCGGCTGATGTAATTTTTGTTATTTATATTTTTGGCATCAGAAGCGGTATTCGCAGCAGTATTATTTATAATGTGTTACAATATGTCAGCCGTTCCTTTTAGCGCCTTTTCTTATATGTAAAAAGGCACTTAACAAAGTTTGTTGTGTGTGTGTTTCTATTTTTTCCTTTTTCTCCAAGGGCGCGGAAAGGAGAAGGCGCGGGAAAGAAAGCAGAGGAAGAAGCCCCTTGTAGATTTTACACATCGCATAAATAATGATGTGGCCGACTACCCCAAACGCTGTTGCAATAAGCACCATTTGCTTTGGTGGAAGATATTTGTCTCTTCTTGAATTTATCAAATGTATTTAATCTTAAAAGATTTTTTTTACAAATTTTTAACTTGAATCTTTTCAGAAAAATTTAAAAAAAAAATAGTAAATCCATATTAATTATGATTTTTTTTTCAATTTTTCTAGTATCCTTTAATTTTAATAATTATTATGAAATGTAATGTACTAATATGCAGTTCCGTTAGAGTAAATTTAAAATCTGCAACGCTATCTTAAAAGTCTCGTTTAATTCCGAGTGAGTCCATTTAATTTCTTTTCAAATTCATTTATTTCGCAAAATGTACTAATTGTAGATAACAAGTTGTTGTTTTTATCACAATTATTAAATCCATTGGAATTTTGAGCTCACCGAGATAAAAGTGTAAAATTGATGATACAAAAATATCACTTAATAAATTTTGAACATTTCGGCATTTTCCAAAAGAATCTTTCAAAAATTTATTTTAAAGACAATCAGTTAATATTTTAATTACTCTTGGGAATTGCAGTATTTTTTCTTATTGCCTTACCCTATACAAAGCAGAACAAGAAATCCATTTTAATGTAAGTCTATGGTTTTGAGTAGAAGCACATAATCCACTTGCTGCAAACGCCATAAAACAATAAATAAAATTGATTAAAAAAGGTTATAATTCGATCTGGAAGAAGGCGCGCGAGCCACGATCTCGTTCTATTTTATCCTTCATACTATGAGAGAGTGGGAGGCAATATAAAATGGTTCGTAAATCTTAAGTAGAGCACAAAATTGTCTTAACTACAGTCACCAGCGGCGGATGGCGGATCGAAAGAAGGATTTTGTAATAATACGCCGTGAGCTCTTTCTCTCGTATTAAAAAGCGCGTCCGTGCAGTTAGGTTCTATAACGGTCTGGAAAACGTATTAGAACGACTGCGAGCGGAAAAAAGTAACACGGGGGAGAAAGAGCCTATAAAGGGCATTATCGGCGATGGAGGGAATTCTCAATGATTGATTTCGGCGTCGAGATTTCCTCTCGCTCGCTGCCCAGTTGGAAGCACACACGCACAAAGGGAACAGAGAAGAGAGGTTTAGCATCATTTTTCTCTTCAATTTGTGGAGCATAACCACTTTCGGCCACTAATATGGACCATAAGTCACCCTATGTTTTCATCTGGCCTCAAAATAACATTCGGAAAAGCATCAAAGGGGATTGGATCTAATAACTTCACAATGGCGAGATTTCTTCCTCCTCTGCTTTTAAAAGAAGAGCGAGTCGTATTTTTTCACCTAAACGAGCATTTCCTTGGAGGATTTGTCTGAATTACGGATAATCTTTTAGACCCTGTAAGCATTCAAAACGTTACCAC